TTGAACTTTTAATCTGCCCCGTGACTCAGTGGCTCCAGAATTCTTAACTTTTTATGGGTGTAAATGAGATTTTCAGGTGAGATCAAATCTACAGACCAGCCATTCTGGAGACAAGTATGATATAATTTCAACAGCATTTTATTCAATATAAATTCAATTTCCAGTCCATACATCTTCCCAGACAAATTGAGATGACTCGAGTTTTTGTTATGATATTTTGATATAATCAAAACCTGCTCATTACATTTATGTAGGCTGCCGTGGAAACTGCAATTGAGCACCTTCGTGTCTTCCCTACCAGCTCCAAGTCTGAAAAATACCGACAAGATTCTTCAAGGCACTATTTTTCAGAACACTTTTGCTCGTTTGATTGTAAAGCTTCGCTTAAAAATGTTTCTTTTCCTATCAGAAATGAGGCAAAAACGAGGTATCAGAAGGCAGAGTACTCTGAAAGGACTACAGTACTTTCGGTTTGATGGTATTTTTCGACCTAATCTACCTGATGGCATTTGGAGACACATTCCTTTCGCCAGTTCGGGCTCTACTTTGAGGCTTTGTGCCTAATTAGAGTCAATTTTTTAACTTGAAATTCACATTTTCCCTCTGACCTAATGACACTTATGGCAATGAGACGCAGTGCTACACTACCACAACCTGAGTTCGAGTCTCTCTAGGCGTGTTGATGAGATCAGTTCAGGCCAGTTCCTAAATTCAGTCCACTCCTGCCTGGATGAGAACACCTTTTGGGAAAGTAATGTTATGTGAATTTCATTTAAAGCATGAGGTCTACTCATATGATTATTGCAAAATCCAACTAACATTCATTCATCCCCTTAAACGAAATAAGGTGGATGCATAAAAGTCTCGAAAACCTGGTTATAAACTAATAATGAGGTAAAAGTTATCCAGACACCTGTCCTTTCCTCAGTTTTGCACTAAGAGAAGTCCTGAATTGTATGCACCGTTGATGGATGAAGTGATAAGATGTTTGGAGCCAAAAATCTTGCCCAATTATTGGGAAATCTATTCGTTTTAAATGAGATTTAATGACACTCGGAGGGTCTTGAATAAGAGCATAAGTCACCCTCGGTCGCTTAAAGAGATGAAGGACTGGTTAGGCGATACGCCTATGAATCCATCAAAGTTTACAAAGTCTTGTACTTTTCTGGTCTTGTTATTATACATTTAATCTCCAGAACCCGTTTCAGGCGAGGTCAAAACGTCAGTCTAGACTAGTCTATCCGGAATGGAAATGACTTTATGGGAAGTAAGATTAAATTAATTTCACTGGAATCCTGAGGACTCCCCTCTGGTTGTGGAAGAATTCACCATCAGTCCTTCAACCCATCAAGAGAAATGTAGTGACTCACACTCTTATTTGAAACTGAGATTAAGTAAAATGTGTGCATTGTCCAAATAGAATACAAACTTAATTATATAAAGAAAAGCTGGTTTTCGAAGAAAAATTATTATAACTATTAATATTAATGTATAAAAACTGGGTTTCGAAGAATCCCTTAATAGATTATTGTTGGAGTACATTTACTTTCGTTTGAAGAGGTGAGTATAAATGATTCCCTTCCATCACTGGTCAAGTCAGGCCCCTCTCACACCACAATTTTATGGTGTGATTGTAGATGGGGCAAACTTTAATTTGCTATCACTCTTGACTACCTTAATAATAATTCTAATGAGTAGGTTTTGATGCTGTCAATAGATCTAGAATAAGAACTATAGTCCCGATGACATACTGTACTTGCCTAAAAATTCAACTAAGAGACATAGAAAGACTAGAGCTCTCATTCGTCTGTGTGTTTTGCCAGTTGAATTTACTGAATCATAGGCTCTAGATTATTACAGGAATATATCCCTGCTCTGTTGCTGCCTGTGAACTGGCATGACATTTGAAAGTTCCTCATAAAACTCCTTTTCGGGAAAGGAATTTTAAATGAATTCCTATGCTTCCAATACCTGCTTAAATTCACATCCCCTTCACAACTGTATCGGCAGATACCAGAAACACTCAACTTCTCATCTTTACCAGAAAATGCCCACTGTTCGACACGGGGACCTCAAACAAAAACTCATCAAACTGTGTGTTTTAGCTTTAAAGTGTCCCATTTGTGTGCTCCATCAACATCTTCGAGGAAAAAAGTCTGTTGCAGCAGACTCTTATGTGTTTTTCGTTGAACACAATATGGCGCTGAATTTTGGTGTCTATTAACTTTAAGAGAACAACAAAACCTTTTCGATATCATTTTGCTGAGTCTCGATGAAATAAATTATACCTTCTCTTCTAAAGCATTGAGGAGATATGTCCCTCCATTTCTTGAGGCCGAAGGGTACCGATCTGAGGATTCGCTATTTCCAAATATGTGCCATTCTCAAGCCGACTCGAATAAACTCAGATAGCGAACGAAGCTGTCTTGCAAATTTCACTTCTTGGCGTCAATTCGCGACAAATGTACAACTTATTTCGCTTCACCCTCTTTTGCTCCCCTCCAAACTGGCTACACATTGCGTGGAACTCGAATCTGCCGGATTCGAACTAAGGCTCGATTTGGATGACCCTCGGGTGTGGATTGGAGATCGCTGGGACTAGAGCAAAACAGGCTTCAGACAGTATTTTACCGAACCAGGCTACTTTATGAAGATTTGGCGAATGATAGCTTGTTTAAATGAACTGACTAGTTACGATTTTAGCGGTTTAGCTTGTCTATACCAAACAGCTGAGCTAAAATGCGCATAGAATTCTGCCATTTTTACCGAACAAAACCGTGTCCATAGAGCAGCTTAACAAAATTGTTTGTCTACAAGTTGTGTTATAAATCACAATTAATTCGTTCTGGACTAATTAGTACGAAAGTGTGAGAAGCTGATAATGGACGATGCTAAATCGGACATCCAACCTGGATGCATGAAATGATAATAATTGCACACTTGTCTAAAGTAAACAGACGATGACATTTCACAATTATGATGACCAAACAGTCAAAGTCTGGGCCAGTGAAGTGGTACGATAGTCACTATGTCGTTGGGATCAGTCTTGACAAGTTATCTAACAAATATTTCAGCTATTTGAAACGTCTTTGTCCAGAATAGAGAGGACACAACCGGAGTCAATTCAACATTTCATCCTCTAAAGTTGTCAGTTGCTCCTTTGAGTCAGATTTGAGCAGATGCCTGTACAAGATAAGAAAAAAACAAAGACCAAGATTAAAATTAGTTAAAAGATCATTTAAATGTAGCATGTTGCTAAACTGTAGGTTTAGATTGCTCCATGAAGAATATTGTTTTCAAGTTTTAGTTGCTGCTCAGTTTTTTATTAAGAAATGGAATTAAGAAATTAAAAAAGTCTGTAAGTGAATTTTTGAGACAACCAGCATATCACCCTATTTAGGAAAGGTAGTTACATTTTTACCACATCCAGGAATGAGAATACCTTCTGGGAAAGCAAGGCTGTGGGAAATTCAATGGGAATGTAATTTCTACTCATCAGATTGTAGGAGAATTCAACTACTATCACACTAAACCAAATAGGACGAATTCCATTCATATATTTTGCCAAAACGTAGTATGTCTCTATATGATTTATGTTTACCCTATTTCCCACAATCATATGAGTAGAGCTGATGTTTTCCATTGTATTTCACATCGTCTTCCTTTCCCAAAAGGTGTTCTTATCCAGCCGGGAGTGGACCGCTGTTTCGACCCCAACCGGGAGTCGAACCATGACAACGCAGCGCGTAAGCTCAACACGCTAACCACTACGCCACATGTTGGTATTCTCGAAAACCCACTCATTCATGAAAGATGTGGTGCCCTGCGACCCAATGACACTTGTCACAATGTGGCGTAGTGGTTAACGTGTTTAGCTTGCACGCTAAACTGTCATGGTTCGAGTCCCGCTTTGGGTGCCGATAAGACCTGTGCGAGGTCGAGACAGCGGTCCACTCCTGACTGGATGAGAACACTTTTTGGAAAAGGAAGGCTATGTGAAATTCATTGGAAAACAACAACTCTACTCATATGATTGTGGTAAACTTCATCATCTTGATCCTCTGTACAAACTCGAGTAAACGGCTCGTTTGTCGTGGAGGAGATGCCCATAAATAGTGTACAGAAAACAGGAGCTGGGCAAAAAAAAGCGGTTTTTGAGCTTTATTGGGACATGTGATCGCCTAAAAGCATCGGCTAACCGAGTTGGAGGCGAACTTACATCCTGACCGACATTTGCTGCCTCGACTCCCTCTCCGCCTCCTCCTTCAGCGCCTCTTCGTACATGAAGTCGTCGATCAAATTTTGTCGCATCGCTTGCTTAACTGCAATGACTTCTTCCACCAGCGGCGGGATCAAAGAGATCACGAGAGAGACCAGCATGTAGACCTCAAGTGCGAAGATCTGAAAGAGGAAAAAGAATAAAAGTAGGCTGAATTTCTCTTTCTTTTGTCTTGGTTACAGGTTCATTATGCCAACAGGCTGACGACGAGTGATGGGCAACTTTTCC